CGTTTGAAACAGACCATTACACTTTCATCATTACAAATACACCATTAAAATTTTACCATTAAAAATGGACCGTTATAAACCGACCCTTACACATTCACCTTTACAGAACCATTACAATAACAAATACTACTGTTAAAAATTAATAAAAATAAGTTGTAATTTTGAAGACTAAACCTAATATAGACCATTGCGCAACATTGCATTTTCATTACACATATACAAGAAAGATTTCATAATCCACCATTATTATATTACAAAAGTAACAACCAAAACCTAAAATAACAAAGCGCTAGCACCATACCAAAACAACTGAAATTTTCATGCTATGTTATTATCATAAATGTTTAACAACATAATTACATAAACGATGAAAAAATCCAACAAAGAGTTGGAAAGAACTTAACATATTTGCTTCCTAAATTTTTTTACGGTTGTCTTTAAAGTGATTTTGAACTAACTAATTAACATACATTTTGAACCATTTTCGTAGCATGATGAGAACCTACTCGCATTATATACATTTGTCCATTAAATGATGCCCTTACAAGGGATTCCACAAGAATATAATACCATTTTCGGAGCATGATGAGACCATGTGGGCAATGTTTACAAACCACATAGACCATGTACGTAAACATTTTCATAGTTGTCCCACCATGAAAGTTTTAGCAAACTACATGGACCAATTGAGTAATTTTGTGTTAAAACGATAAAATGAATCTACAAATATCTTGCTTATCTTGCGATTTTCCACAAAATAAAATAATAATAATAATAAAAATAATAAAATTAGGTGAAGACCAACAAAGTCAATGGTCAATGAACATCCGCTAGTAGCACAAGAACCAGGCGAAATCATCCCGTTACCTGCCGGAATTCTGAAGATCTTTTCTGGATACAAGAGATATCTTGAAAAATAAAAGGTTCAATCAGGAGAAGCGACGATGTTGCCCAAACATGTCATATTCCGAGACCAAACATGTCAACGTTTTACTCTTGCTGAGATTCAATCGGCAACCCAAAACTTCGACGAGGCTTCGGTTATTGGCCGGGGAGGATTCGGCATGGTGTATAAATGTCAGAATATCGGGTCAATGAGGGAAGTTGCAGTCAAACGGTTGCATTCCATGTCCAATCAAGGAGCCCATGAATTTGAGGCAGAAGTGCAGGTACTTTCTAAGCTGCGACATGGTAATCTTGTATCCTTAATTGGTTATTGCAATGAAGAAAAAGAGATGGTTCTGGTTTATGAGTTCATGCCAAATGGGACACTTGAAGATCATCTTCGCAAACCTGATTCCTCTTTATCCTGGTTACAACGACTGAAGATTTGTGTTGGAGCAGCTCAGGGTTTAGAATACCTTCATATGGGTACATCAACCCAACATGGAGTCATACATCGTGATGTGAAAACTTCTAATATTTTGTTGGATGCAAATTTTGTTGCTAAAGTTTCAGACTTCGGATTGGCTAAAGTTGGTTTAATGGATCGAACTCATGTGAGCACTGCTGTGAAAGGGACATTTGGGTATATGGATCCGTTCTATTTTAATACAGGAAAACTGACAATAAAATCGGATGTTTACGCATTTGGGGTTGTATTGTTTGAGGTGTTGTCAGGGAAAAAAGCTGTAGATTCAACCCTTGATGAACACCAATGGTGTTTAGCAGCTTGGGCTCAACACAAAATCAAAGAGGGAAAACTCAATCAAATTATTGACCCGAGACTAAACGGACAAATCTCCAAAAAATGCATGAAGGAGTTTGCAAGGATAGCACGCTATTGTTTACACACTGAACCAAAACAACGCCCTACCATGGCGGAGGTTGTGGTCAAGCTGGAGTCTATTCTTTCACAAGAAACGGAAATTGCCAATTCTGTTGTTAGTGAAGAAGGACTCATTTACAAGCTAAGATCTATTTTCACAGGCAAAGTTGGTGCTTCAATAGGAAGCAAATCTGATTTCAGCATGTACCATGAATACATACGAATCGAAATTGATACTACAAGAGGAAGCAATAAGGATGAAAGTTTTAGAACTTTCACATATGCTGAATTGGCAAGTGCAACAAATGATTTCATGGAGGAGGTGTATACCCCAACTTTATATGAATCCATTTATAAAGGATGGGTAGATGAAAGGACATATGATCCAACAGAGTCTGGTGTTGGTTTGGCGATATATGTTAGGAAGATCGAGATTCTCTGGAAGGTAGGTACTTCCAATATGTGAAATGGGGATGTGGGACTAACTTTGATTTGCATAACGAATGAACAACATAGATTTTTCATGCATTCTAATATATATTTTTTTTAACTAATTTGGCTATGCAGATGGTCATCAAACTAAAAAAATTATGTGCTTGCATTTTTGACGTAGATTGGAAGTAAATAACACAAGAATGTTAAGGTTGCTCAAAAAAGAATTTAATTCATATCCAAGGTATCTTCAAATGGTCACATTCTTTGTGAATTTTATTAATTCACAAGGAGAACTAAATTTAACAGGTATCGCCATATTGCCATATTTTAGAAAAACAAAATTGTTTGAAAATCACTGAACTCAAGAAACTCACATTATTTTCCAACTGGAAAGAAATAATTTAAAATGAGAAAGTAGCAAGGAAGAAGTAAATTTTCATCTCAGCCAAACATTAGTTTTAGTTTCTATTTCAATATCTTTGAGGCTTCTTTTCAGGATTTTAGTGCTCAGCTTTCAGATTTTTCCTTTGTTTCTTTCACGTTCCAAATGGATCGATATTATGCAGCCCCTGAGTGGTTTCGCTACCGAGCAAACAGATTTGATAGTCTTTTCCACGAAGAAGACACATTTGTTAGTCTTCACAGACTATCCCCTGCAGATGGTATATTTTATATTCTAAATATATATTATTTAAATTATATCTCAACCAAGTCTTTGCCACCAACTTAGGCCTACGACTAATAAAAATCTGAGGGGGCTTTTGGCTTGTAGAATATTTTGGAAGGAATTGGAATTTGTCAAAAGGATTTGAAATCTGAATGGGTTGAATTATGTCACGCATATGGTTGCTAGAAGTTCGAGGGAAAGCATCGGGAGATAGGTTAAAATCCTATTGGAGTACTTATTTGCAATCAAATGTGGGATTAAAATGGAACTGAATTCCAATTCCGGCCAAAGCCTACAGAATCCAACATCCAAACGCCCCCTTACTAATTATTGGTGCATGCGCCAATGGCAAACCAATCAAACTACACTTTAACAGATTTTGCTATGAAAAATGAGATCTATGCTTTTGGAGTGGTACTGCTAGAAATACTAACCGGGATGATGGTGTATGATGAGGAGAGACCCCTCGGAAAGGAAAATTTGGTGGAATGGGCTATACCATTTTTAGCAGATGAGGTAAGCCTGAGAATTATTATGGACCCACAACTTCAACATAACGATTGTCCTCCAAAGGGAGCATTCAAGTTGGCTCAACTTGTTTTAAACTGTCTTCATCCAAAAAAAGACGAACGCCCATCAATGGAAGAAATCTTGCAGGTGCTGAATCGTTGTTATCATGAAGAAATCAAAATAGTTTGACTCTTAAAATTTAAACACATAGTTCTTAACACCTGAGAATGTAAAGAATACGATCCTGGAAGACAGCTGAATAAATAGGCAGTAACGATAGTGAATGTTAGATCCATTTGTAGGATGTCCAAATGGAGTAATATCTTTTCTAAGATTTTTGGGTAAGTAATTGGCCACTAGATCATGCATGTGGCACTATTTTGAGTCAAAGCGTGTTGTATTTCAAAAGGTTGGATTATAAGAACCTTTTATGGTCTATTTGTCAAATTTTATTGATATATGTTCTGTAACGAATTTGTAAATGTAACTACATATTAAACAATTTATAATATAATTGAGTATTACACGGATGTAAAGTGTAAATATTTTTAGATCATAACAAGTTAAGAATAATAAACATATTGAATCATTATATTCTTGATTGATTAAATATTTTGAATCATCTCTATTTGGATTATATTATGTTCAACATTTGTAACGTCCCCAAAATTATGAGGTAAAAATTCCATTTTTAATTCAACCAAAACATTAACTATCTTTAAGTCAAACATTCAATATCATTTTATCTAAATATTCAAAGGTACTTTATAAGAAAAAACAGTTATGAGAGTACAATTACAAAATCATTATAATGCGGAAACATGGGTAGATGTGTTGGTCTCATGTCGGACCCTTTCCTTTCGAACCGGAAGTACCTGAAACTATAACCATAAAAATCATAAACACAAAGTTTAGTGAGTTTCCTAAAATACCACATACCATACATACCATTAGGCCTAGCCCTCACATTGGGCCCATCCCACCTTAATGGGCCTAGCCCTGCCAAACAAAGTGTCTAGCCCGATCATATAAATGAAAAAGTCACAAAGACAGTTAGCACCTACATAACATACAATGGGCCTATCCCTTCCTGATCCATGGGCCTAGCCCAACATGCAAATAAGCCTAGCCCAACATACAAATGAGCCTAGCCCGTCATACAATGGGCCTAGCCCAACATACATATGGGCATATCCCAACATACCATGCAGGAGTCACAAAGACAACTAGCATATCATATCCTAGTGGGTCGGCGTTAGTGCCTTCGACCCACGAGTACAATGAGGAGACTCACCTCAAGCTGCAAAAACACTCGAATAAATCTCTGACTGTTGGTCCGGAAAATCCCCGCGCTATCAACATCAAATGACATCCAATTCTTAATTAGGTTCCTACCCAAAACTAAGAGTCTAAGCTACTTAGCCCAAAACCAGGGTAAAAGACTATTCTACCCTTCATCTCACTTGGCCCAATGCCAAGGCCCAACTCAACTGCTTCCAAGGCCCAAATCCTAAACAATAATCGAAAGCCCAATATGGCTCAATCTTCCAAATTGGGCCTAAAACCCATCATGGGCCTAAATAAAAAGGAGCCCAAAAATATAAGTCTAATGGCCCAACAAGGAAAAACTAAGAAAACCGAACCAATGGCCCAAACCGAGAATACCAAGCCCAAACTCCTATCTCCTTAGTACGGGGGGCGTACTCAACTCGTACGCTAAGCGTACTCCGTCCGGGGTCAGTACACGCAACGTACCCGCTGGGAACGCCCAACGTACCCTCCAGAATACCAAACCATCTCATTAAGCACTTAATCGGCTAAGAGAAAGTGCCAAACTCTCAGATTTGATTCTTTAAGGCTACCTATCACGTAAAGTTGACAACTTTACACTTATGTATGGCTTAAAGGGACTCAAAAGCTCAAAAAGAGCTTAATAAAGGTCTTAATGCTTGTATGGACCAATATCTTCCATAAAGTTGACATTTTTATGAAAATGTGGACTAAATGGAGCCAAAATCTAGCATTCATAGCCTCTGGAGTAGATCAAAAGCTCTCCTTTAACTCAAAAGCTCAAAAAGTGCACAAAGTACACCGTAAACTAGATCTAACACCAAAGACCATCAAGGAGAGAGCTTTTTACCTCAAAAATGCTTGCAAATGAGAAGAAGATTTTAGATCTACAAGCTCAAGCTATCCCCTCAAGTGATCATCATCATCATCTTCTTCTTCACAATCCACCAATAAACACTCTTTCAAGCTCAAAACTCACCAAATCACTCTAGGGTTTCTATCTCAGCGAAATGGGAGATGGAGGTTGGTCTAAACTGTCCAAAATATGATTTAATGATGCTTGAATAGGGTGCAAACCCTAAAAATTAGGGTTTTCATCTGGCTAGAGTACGTCCCACATACTCCCAGTATGCCAAGCATACTCCATGAAGGTTAGCGATCCTTTCAGCCTAGTACACCCAACGTACTCCCTTATATGCCTTGCGTATATGGCTTAACCTTTTAAACCACCAACTTTCGAAGGCCATAACTTCTTCATTCCGAGTCCGATTTCGACGATCCTTATATCCACGGAAAGGTAACAAGAATCTCTACACTTATATCGACTCATCCTTACCTTAAATCTTCCCGAACTAAAATCAAAAATTCATAAAAAGCCCGAACTGACACTTTACAGATCTACCCTTGGGCTCCAAATCACCAACCGGACTTCCAGATCATCTAACTTACATTACCCACACCCAAATGGGTCTAAATCCCTATTTTCCAAAGGCCCTAAGCCATATGATAACCGATCTTCGGGTCACATCCCCGAATTAGGAAACGATTCGGAACAGGGTGTTACAACTCTCCCCCACTTAAATTAAATTTCATCCTCAAAGTCACTCCTTACCACCCTCTTAGGAACCAACGTTCTGAACAGAACCTTCTAGTTCTAAACTAATCACTGCTCATTTAACTGTCGAACCAACACGTTATTGCTAAAATTCCAAAATCCCATAACTTGCGTGACCTCCACATAGGTCGAACCAATTCTAAACACAATTACAAGAGCCTTTTTTTCTACCATCAAAACTGAAAACATCCCTTTAAACTTGAACCCTTCTACTGATACCCTTGGCATACAGATCCCTTCAACCATAACTCGCTGAGGTAAAGATATTGAATATAAACACTAACGATTCCCAACGCGAATCTCGACCCAAAATCCAACTCGGTACATAACTTATAAAACCTGAGATCCAAGGATTTACACTTGCATGTGACCTGGAATCTTCTGATTCACGACAACCTTTCACTAAACCGGGATATAAAAATTCCCAATCTGCCATTGAGACTGCCAGTCTCACACCTGGTCCAGCCGTCAGGTTCCTAAAAGTCGAAGTGATAAGGCTACCCTAGCCTACACACCACACTCGTGCCACTCACTGACCACATCGTCATCTTGGCCCAATCGGTTTCCACCGGGTCTCACCTACACCATCATAACTATACAGGCCTCGCCCACGGGTCTTACCTAATCGAGAGCTACTTGCCTCAGAACCCAATGGTCCTCCTCCCATAATAATGAGATATTCTTCGACAATCTGTGTGGCTTGCCCAACCCGCATATTGAACCCATCCCACCTTAATCGGCCTAGCCTTGCCAAACCATTTAGCCTAGCCTGATCATACAAATACAAAAGTCATAAAGGCAGTTAGCACCTACAAATGGGTCTAGCTCATTATACAATGGGCCTGGCCCAACATACCATGTAAGAGTCACAAAGACAACTAGCATATCATATCCAGTGGGCCGACATTTATGCCTTCGACCCATGAGTACAGTGAGGAGACTCACCTCAACATCAAATGACATCCAATTCTTAATTAGGTTCCGACCCAAAACCATGAGTCTAAGCTACTTAGCCCAAAACCAGAGTAAAAGACCATTCTACCCTTCATCTTACTTGGCCCAAAGCCAAGGCCCAACTCAAATCCTTCCAAGGCCCAAATCCTAAACGATAATGCAAAGCCCAATATGGACTAATATTCCAAATTGGGCCCAAAACCCATCATGGAACTAAATCCAAAGGAGCCAAAAATATAAGTCTAATGGCCCAACAAGGCACAAACTAAGTAAACCCAACCAATGGCCCAAATCGATAATACCAAGCCCAAACTTCCATCTGTTGAGTACGTGGGATGTACTCAGTTCGTACGCTAAGCGTACTTCGTCCAAGGTCAGTACGCGCAACGTAACAGCTGGGTAGGCCCACCGTACTCCCCAGACTACCAAACCATCTCATTAAGCACTTAATCGGCTAAGAAAAACTGAAAAAACTCTCATATTTGATTCTTTAAGGCTACGTATCACGTAAAGTTGGCAACTTTATACTTATGCATGGCTTAAAGGGACTCAAAAACTCAAAAAGAGCTTAGTAAAGGTCTTAATGCTTGCATGGACCAATATCTTCCATAAAGTTGACATTTTTATGAACATGGGGACTAAATGGAGACAAGATCTAGCATCCATAGCTTCTGTAGTAGATGAAAAGCTCTCCTTTAAATCAAAAGCTCGAAAAGTGAAAAAGTACACCATAAACTAGATCTAACTCCAAAAACCATCAAGGTCAGAGGTTTTTACCTTAAAATGCTTGCAAATGAGAAGAATATCCTAGATCTACAAGCTCAAGCTATCCCCTCAAGTTCTCCTCTTCTTCTTCTTCTTCTTCTTCTTCACCATCCACCAACAAACACTCTATCAAGCTTAAAACTCACCAAATCACTCTAGGGTTTGGATCTCAGGGCAATGGGATATGGAGGTTGGTCTAAAATATCCAAAAGATGATATAATGATGCTTAAATAAGGTTTTCATCTGGCTGGAGTACGCCCCGCGTACTCCCAGTACGCCCAATGTACTGCACGAAGGTCTGCGATCCTCTCAGCCTAGTATGCCCAACGTACTCCCTTGTACGCCCTGCGTACAAGGCTTATCCTTTTAAACCACCAACTTCCGGAGGCCATAACTTCTTCGTTCTGGGTCTGATTTCAAAAATCCTTATATCCACGGAAAGGTAACAAGAAGCTCTACACTTCTATCAACTCATCCTTGCCTTATAGCTTCCTGAACTAAAATCTAAAATTCAAAAAAAACCCGAACTGCCACTTTACAGATCTACACTTGGGCTCCAGATCA